TCACTGGTCCAATCTCAGTATCAGTTTGTTGATCGGCTCGGAGAATCGACTACTGAACGGGAAAGAGAAGACAGAGTGAAGAAGGCATTAAGCTGATTTTCATCACGACAAAACACCTAGTAATATAGTATACTTAGGGTGGTAGGCAATGCCTTTGAAGATCCTATTAAAAACGGCACATACAGTATTAAAGGTCAAATAAACATGTTACTAAAATGCTGTCAGTAATATGCATGTTTCACGTAAAATTATATGAACAGTGTGAGAATGCGACACAAGCACCCTCAGTTTTCTCGAAAGTTTCGGGCGGAGCCACTGATGGTACTTTTCAAGTACAGTTGAGATTACAAATGCAAGTATACACAGTCAGCACAAAATATGGTTATTTTTGGAGTTTGCGGGAACAATTTGGGCAAAGCGTGCAAGAATGCGATACATTGGAAATGAAATCAAGAAATAAAGTTCATGACTAGCCGTAGACAGCCCTGCGATGAGAGTCGTTGTTTATCAAACATCAAACAATCCAACTGCCGTGTGAATACAGACACGGCGTCAGATGTCACTATTTCAGTTCGGAGTGAGTTCAACGGTTGAACTGCCCGATCATTGAAAGGAAGCCTCCGCTGGTAAAGGCGCCTAAATTAGTGTCTAACCTTGTAGGGATGACCGTGCAGGCGACTCATACTTGTCAACTCGAGGAAATCAACTGGCGTTACTGACGATACGACGACCTTGGAAATATTTCCAATGACCCAAGGGGGAAACAGGTATATGTACCTGTTCCCACCCCCTTAAGCCTCATGCTGTGCCCTATGATTGTGGATGCCTACTGTGAGGACTATTTATCGGCTACCAGCTACATGAACAACTGTTTAACGAGTAGTTCAGGCCAGAATGCATGGCCTGCCGTTCGCTGATGACTCCGCATTCAACACAACGACGGAAGTGGCTATTCAGGGGACACAGCCCTCTTCGGTTCCAACTACACCAACCTGGAACTAACAATCAACGCAGAGATGACAGTTGTCATACCTCAAGAGGCGCCGAACATGGACTAGATCAGACTGTGTATCAACGTCAAAGAAGCTCAACTCGCAATTGTGGCCAGTCAAAACTGATTAGGCAGTGGCCAACCAGATTTCAGAAGCCGGCCAGGCATTCGGCCAGCTAGAGGCCTCAATATTTAATCGTCGAGGCATTCGTCTCAACAGAAAACCCGAGACGTACAGGGTAATGGTCCTGGCGACGATACCCTAACAGATGGAGACGCGGAACGTCTACGCCGATGGGAGGCTAGGATCATGGAGGTTGTGGAGGGGACCGTAAACTTCAGCACCCATGATATGCTTAGGCGATTGAAACTGCGTTGGAGCGGTCACTCCGGGAATATGAACGGCAAGCACCTATCCGAGTAATTCTTCTAGGACAACGTCGTAATGGGCACTCGATGACAAGCAGTGTCCTAACCGCCAACGGAAATTTCGCGCGCGGAGCGGTCTTCCGCACATCTTCGCAAAAATAGCACGAAAACACCTACTGCCCCTGAAAACGCCTCCACCATCAACTTCACTGCAACAACAAGACAGTGACCATCACCGGTAAGAGGATTTTCGACGCCCGCCGCTCGCCATGGATAACAACCGCTGGCAAAGCCTCCGCATTGACAGAGACTACCCTACCGCTGGTGAGAACGCTCCCGACGCCCTGCCACTCGTCACCGCCACAACCGCCTCCCCTATCAGCAGCGATGCGGACGCGACCAGATCCTGCGTCTTGGAACTACACATCTGGTAGGTCGGTTGCGAATTCATCACAACTGGTAACTCCCCCCCTTCCTTCCACCAAACTCCGATAGCACTCATTCAGAGTTCCCACATGAAAGCAGCCCGTTACATGCGCACATACGACGGCGGAATTCACCGCAAGATCGACTTACCTGGCCCAGGTGAAAGTCCCCTTCACACCATCAGTGATAACAATTCTCCGCCACCAGAAAATACCAACATGTCCTGCCCGTATCGCCACCACACATGAAAGCCACGCATCGGCCACTTGCGAATTCGTCTCACAGAAACTGGCGGGCCAACGACAAGTGGGGGGAGCAACATACACCAATCACACCCTTTTCCAATGTCTACACACATTTACCCGCCACATGCGCCTACTCGACCATACGAGTCTACATGAGAATCTATAGTTCGAATCGGACCACCAAACATTCCCCCCACAAGTCCATAAACCCGCCCCATAACACCCCATACGGACAGAAAATGCAGTGTTTAAGTCAGTCGGTAGCATTTCTATGCCAAACCAGTTCGTTTGAGACACGCGAGTCAGGCTGTTGGAGACCTGTCAGCCACTGCGACAAACCCCAACAACAGATGATTGACAGGCTCCGAGAGTCGGCTGGTGTACGGTAGAGGGAAGAGTCCAATTCCGGAGATTTCATCCCCTCAACATTTAATCGCATCTACCGCTATAATGAAACTGATGAGCAAAACGTTCTGGCCAATTGACGGGATAACTCAGCCCTCTCGGGACAGAAGGCTGGTCCACAATGGCTCCTCCATAACGCGTCCTCTATGGCACTCCCACTCAGTTGGGATCCGGGCCCCATCTCTTCCCCCGTGTATGTGACAATCTGGTCAAGCATGCGCGGACCAGGTGTGTTGGACGACGGAAACCGGGTCAGGATAGTGTTTGGGAAAGCTGATTTGTCACGATCCGGGTTCCGTCGTACTGACTCACTTATGAAACAGCCTCAGGCGAGTGGAGAAGTGTGATAGATGCAGCAAGTCCACCACATTACAAATTAATTAACGCGTAAGTTGCCGTCCTGCCCCCATAAAGATCCGAGCCACACGGTGGACATCGTCGAACTGACATGACATACGGCACGTTAACATAAGTTGCTATCAGACCACCCGCCGCTACCAAGGGTTCAT